TTGACAAGATTAGACAATTTTTAATAACTTTGATTATTAACGGACAAATAATAATAACCAAAATAATACTAGAAGGAATGTATATAAATTATCTAAAGAAAATTAAGAAAAAACATTAGTTTAAATGTTTGAGAAACTTTGGAGACATCCTTCTTCAATTAATTTTAAGGTAGGTACTAATTTCATAAATTTGTTAGTTATGTAAACATATATATGAAAGTTTGTTTTTTTATTTACAAAGTTCTACAAGTATAACAGCCAATTACAGAATAGGCATACATGGATAAATACCATACAGGGTTTAAAAATTTACAGACCAAAACAAAAAATAAAATAGTTACTTTCAAGTTACAATTAGTTAAAACATAATGAAGGGTGCCGGAAAAGAGGGCTAAGTCACACTTTTGTCAAAATTGAACTGGTATCGCCATATTTTGTAAAATATCTTTATGTTTCTATGTATTGAGCCAAGCGCTAAGAAGCGCATAAAAATGCATTTAAATATATGCATCCAGGTATCACCTTTGACAGTAAGTTAACATGGAACCGTGGAGCGCACGGGTCTCTCCCCCAGAGTAGTCGCATGGACTTACACGGTCATCATAAGACCTATGCTAACTACGGTGCAGTTGTCTGGGTACCGAAAACCTAAAAATTGACATCTATCCGCAAACTAGAACAAATTCAAAGAACAGCATGTCTCAACATTACATGATCCATGAAAACCACACCGACCAAAGCTAGGAAAGTCATTCTTAGTCTCACTAGCCTTGATATTTACATAAAGGAGGTTGCTCTGATGACAATGACGGTTCTAAAACAAAACAAGGCACAGGTTGTGGAATATCTTCCAAATTCTTAAACTTAAACCTAAAATGGACTGTAAACAATAGTGCCAGTGTAGTTCAAATCGCCGACCTCCCGGGGATTCTCATAACTGGAAGAAACATGCTCATCTAATTAGATAGTAGACGAGCACTACTCACCTTGGATAACACGAATTTACTCAGGGTTAGTACTAAAAAGTCACGAAGCTTTGGCCAAAGTCTCCAGCAACAATGTGGTCAAATTAAGATGGATCAAAGGTCACGCAACATTAAGAGCCAAAAAGGCAGTCAACCAAATAATTTTTGGACCTGACTCTTCTAATGGACTGATACCATCGGTAGTGATAAACCTAATTAAAGAACATTCAAGTAAAAGTGGGATGTAACAAGAAGCTGCAGACTTGCCAGGGAAATTTTAAGTTATCTTGACAACACTACAGCAAAAAATACTTGACTATGATTAGACAGAATATGCGCCTGATCACGCGCATTCAGAAACCGTATAAAGTTTAATTGGAATATGTATTTAAAAAAAAAATAACTGGATTTGTAGATGTGATCAAAAAATGCATTTTTTGTTTAGCGTATATTTTGTTTGGGTGCGATTCTACGTAGACGACGCATGGTATAACTGATTTAGTACATATTCATGAGAAAATTAAAACATATAAAAACAGCAAGGCACATATAAATAATATTTTTCGTATTTCTTTGCTCGAAAAATCAAACATAATGACTCAATTAAGTTCGGCTCATAGACAAAATATTATTATGCACAACCAAGAAGTTTTTATGCTATTATTTTGTAAAAATGGTGAATAAGCGTTTAATAAACATTTAAATAAAAATACCTAGACTTTTGGGTCAATATTTAGTCGTGTCACCATAAAATTGTTCGTCTCCGGCGGCCCACCTGCGTGATACACTGGCCTAGCAACATCTGTGTGTTAAGGTACGAGCTGCCACTGGTATGGGGTGCATAGTTACAGAATAGTTCATCAACCAGTCAATAGATGCTGCCTCATGTATATCAGGTATGTTCCAACAAAGGTCAGAAACCAGTCATTGACACCAGGATTGTGCGCAGTATGAATTTGGCGGTCTAAATAATCTACTGCGCAGAATCATGGTGTCAATGACTGGTTTCGGACTGTTGTTGAAACAAATCTTATTATTTCAATTAATAATATGTTATGGAGTTGTCATTTGTTTGATTAAAGCCTACTAATTGAATACGCTATGACTTTTGATCGAAAAGAATGTCGCAGACGACTCTAATTTATAGTCAAAAATTATAGGTTTGTTTCAACAGCGAATTTAATCATCAGAAGTACGTCAGACGCATGCGCATTGAAGATAGTCCGTTCCTACAATGCCAACTGTCAGTAAAACGTTCCAACATATTTTCTGATTCGTACATAAATGAGTCGGTGGATTGTTAAAACAATCAGGGGTAGTATTCTCGAGTCACGAATATAGATTCGCATGCGAGATTTATGATTTGTCTCACTTGGTTTTTGTTCAACAAACTGAGACACATTGTAAAACACGTATGCGAATGTCGGTATTCGTGATTCGAGAATTGGCGATTCAAGCTAAGTGATACGCCCTCTGGAGGAAATTAGTAGAAGGTCCCTATAAGTAGGATGACGTTCAGTGTTGCCAGAAGCAGCAAAATTTCGTTACGTCGTCGGATTTTAGTTCTTGAAGAAATGGATAAGGCCTTTTATAAAAGAATCAAAATTTGTGTCTAGTAATATGTAATCATACTATTTATTTAAGGATTTTTTTATAAAATCGATTTATTATATTGATTTTTTTTTTTTAATTTCAGTTCATTTATTAATTTTAGTTTTAAAATCAGTCAGAGACAAAATCAGTTCATCATTTGGCAACATTGGCGTTCGTGTTCATTGTTTACATTTTAATTTATATCAATTACAATTAGAGTTTTTTGTTACTTTTTAGCTTTAAATTTGTTTATTTCTTATAGTATGTGATAGTATTTAAATTAAAAATGAAATCTGCGAAAAAGTCTCCAGCAAATTGCAATCTATATGGTGTTATTGTCAAAATCAAAACTAAAGTATTCATTATTTTTCAAGTGCAAGTCATAAAATTTTGTTTCTTACGATAAATGGGTATCTACAAATTCACAATATTGAAATTTTGCAGAACGTTGTTTAGAATCAAACTCCAATATGAGTTGTGACGGTTTTATTACCATTTACATGTATACAAAGTACTACACAATTCACTTCATGATATAAGAATAAGGATAGTAAGATTTTTAAAGAAGTTCATCAATAATAAACGTTTGGTACCTGATATGTCCTTTAAACCACATAATAAAACATGTCTTGGGTTTAGTAAATACATATTTCTAGATGTTCTTGTAGCAACCAATAGGTCAATATGTCCAACAAATTAGTTCATAATACACATGAAAAATATTACATTTATAACGAAAGCACCAAAACTAAACTTAAATTAACACTAAATGAAACTCAAAAACACTATTATAATAAGAATAGTTAAAAAATCACAAATACAAAATCCCACAACACGTAAATAAACAAACATCCTACTTATACGTGACAAATGACAGGCGCGCGAAAATTAATTTGAATCGCGAATACTACCCCAGATCTTGATCGCTTGTACAATTTATTAGCACATGCGCATTTGTTCGTATCTTCTAACAACACCAGCGTCCCTGCGGTAAATTGTAAAAGTTTAATTAGCATTTATTGTTTGGAACCGTATTTTGGGTGTACCCATTCGCCCCCTTCTCTCTAGTCTTTATAGTAATCGCTTATCACTCGGTTTTGTCAGGAACACACTTTAAAAATAAATGGGGCTTATAGTATCTGTAACTAAAGGTGTTAAGTAACTGGTTCAAGTTTAAATAATTAAAATTAAATGCAACAAAAACTAAATGTATAATTTTAGGCAGTCCAAACAGTTGTACAATATTTAGTAACAAAAGCTTAAACATATAATGATTGATAATGAAAATATAGAAATAGTGAAAAACATAAAGTACCTTGGAATGCAGCTGGATCCTTATCTGAACTTTAGCCAGCATGTAGATTATACGTGTAAAAAATAGAATTGGTTATCTTTACAGAATATAAAAGGAGCTCTCTAAATGGGCAAAAAGAAACGTGTATAACTGCATTAATCTCTCCAATATTCACATATTGGGTTGCACAACACGAGTTGAAAACTTTATGATCATGATCTGAGAACAAATCAGAACTATTATGTAGAGAGGTATCATACCAGCACAATGGAAAATCCAACATTTGTTGAAGGGGTAAAAAATTATAACAGTTTGTCTCTTATTGTAAAAACAATCTCCAATGTCAAAGTTTTCAAAAAAATATTATGCACTATTTATTTCCAAACCTAAATTTTTCCTGCTATATAATTACTTTAAGTTATGCATTTTTTAAATGTAAAATTTAATATCTTTGTACGTAATATCATATATTTTGTTAAATAAAGAATGTTTATTTATTTATACCTATTATTAAGTATCTCTCCGATATCTTTGAGCTAGATCAGTTACTTTTTATTTACATACATTTTTTATTTTATATGTCTAAAGTCTAGAATGTAATTAAACGACTTGTCCTATACATTTTATACCTACATGTTCAAAAGGATTAATTTTTTGTATCACTTTCAATTCAGTTTATTCTTAGATATATTGAAATGAATGTCACATCGGCAACGTCGCTAACAAACGTCAAGCAACGCTGGGCAGTGAGCCAGTGAGTTGCTGCCATCGAGACGAGGACGAGACCATTTAAAAATCAGTCTGCAACAAACTGCGAAAGAGACCGTTTCGTTAACGGATCTCTCCACCGACTTCACTAATCTTTTATTTTTTATTTACCCAAGCCTACCCTCGTTTAAATTTCGGTTTTTTCGACACTGGTCGGGTACGTAACCGGATTCCAGACTGTTTGCCGTTTCGAATGAGTGTTTTTGGATTCGATACAACGCGGAACAGTGATAAATAGAAAAGAATTGGAGAGAAGTAGTGATTAAGATCGTTTTCGGGAACTCAGAATCAAGGTTGCCAGTATTCGGGAGGTTATTTCATATTCGCGAAATGTTTACAGCGTAAAAGTGAAGTTATCGAACTGGGTCAATACCTATTTGATGGCTGTGGCGGTACCCAACTGCCACTCGAGGGTGTCGATGTCCGTCTCAATGAGTTTAATGCAAGGTACAGCTGGGCCGACGGCCGGTGCAGGGCAGCAAGGGGGGCTCCATGGGGCCCAACCCTATTACCATCCTCAACACGCCGCGACCCCGGCCCATACACAGGAACAGGTCCAACCGGATAGGCCCATTGGGTATGGAGCATTTGGAGTCGTTTGGTAAGTCGAGATCTTGTTGTGTTATGGGATTGTTGTGGACCAGAGGCGTAGGTGGGTCCTACTTCTTACGCGGAAGGGTCCCGAATTAATTAGCACATATGTTTTTACGCAGGGAGGGTTAATTTTTGTATAGTAAACGTGAAGATCTACAAATTTTATTTGGTCACATTGTTTGAAACTACCTATAACCATCTACGACTTAAGATAAAATGAGATTTACAGGAGCACACTCCAAAGTTATTATAATCATTCTCTAAAGTTGTTTCAATGCGTGTTGGTAGTTTGGGCCCCGGGCAGGTAAATTAGGCCCCAACCTAACAAAAATTATCACCAAATTCATTAAAATTTAACAAAGTTATGGAGTTTTTCTAATTGTATGTACCTATATTTTTTCTGATTAGCAACCCGCGGTAGTTCCAGGCCGCTCAGGTTAAGTAAATTAGTTAAGTTTTTTTTTAATTTTTCTCGTTTCATGTGAATCAACTCGCGGTAGCTCTAGGCCGTACAGGTTAGGTAAATTAGTTGTTTTTTCTTTATTTTTCTCTAAATATATTCTAATTTAGACCTGAAGGGTTTTAATTTAATACTGAACTGCTTTCTTCGGGTCGGTAGTGTAGCGGTCTAACGCGCTTATATTCATTTATAGGCAAGTCTGAGACTGCTGGACTTCGAATCCCAGACCATGTGGATTTTTAATTAAATTACATGGTTCGGTTTAGGATTTGATGTGTGCCGTATTAATAGAAATTCAATTTCTGTTGATATGACATGCAGATTAAAAAATCGCCATGCGTTACCGTCTCGATGATGGTGGGTGAGGTTTTCCGGGTTTTCCTCACCTGTAAGTCAAATGGCACCATCAATCATCTTTAAGTCGCCCCGGAGCGCCACGGCAAATAATAATAATGGCCGTTCCTTCCCCTACACAAGTCGTTCAGTCGACTTCAGGGGTTGAAATTCACTCTTATGGGGGTGAATTATTATTCTACACAAATAAATTCCGAATGTAGGTACCTTTATCCTTTCAATGTGGACTTAAAAATTAATAACTTCAATTACCTATTAATATTTATTTCCCGTTTTAATTTGTTTATAAGTCGGGACCGAATTTGCACATACGCTATTAGATCCAATGGAACCCAATTTACATGTAACCCGTATCAAAATCTTTTTGGAAAACACTTATAATGTTTTTATTCTTTATATTATATTATCTGTCTTGCTGTACCTTTATTCATGGAATGCCTGAATTGAGATACACTACAAATTATTTGCAATAAATATCAAAAGAAGCATACATTTTTAAATAATTTGACATTTAAGAGAAATTCACACATCACAGTTGACTTCTTGATACTTGACAGGCACAGCCAAGCATTATTCTGATTTTTGCCAAATAAAATGGCCGGTTAATTATTCTATGGGGTTGCGACAGAGAGCCAGTAAATTTGATGAAGGTTTTTGTGGCTAGGGGCGAAATAGTAGTAAGCTTAAGTTAGCATCACCATAAAAAAGTCATTTTTCAGAAACTGCTTATATTTTTTTTATAAATTGGCAGGCTTGGCGACTAATTTCGAATAAAAATAGCCTCCAAAATGGCAATGATTGCAAATATGAAGGTCGCAACCCGTCTTAGAAATCTCACTTGTAGAATCAACAGCTGTTTGACAGGTCGTTGGAGAATGTTTGCAATGTATGGAATGTTAAGAGTGTTAGGAATGATTGGAATTCATTAAATTAGTCACATAAGAAATGCATAGGCTGATTTTAAGAAAATTGATATTAAAGTAGTTAGGATTAAGTGAAAATTCTGAAAATCAATAGGTACGTATTATTTCAATTGTCATGTTTTTTTTTTTAAAGTAAAAAGTTGCTTTCATCGGGAATTGAACCGCGGTCGCGAAATATAATTATTAATGCTTGTTGAATGCTTAACTGCCTGAGCCAACGAGACATCTCAAGTGAGTTTTCTAATCAAATATGTGTATTGTAAATTTCAACAAATTTGAGGGCATCTTACAGTCCATTAGCAGTAGCCTAGCCATCTGACGATTTGAAATGCCTCATCTGTGACATTGAAAAAGATGATGTAAATTTTCACCTGGAAGTATGATCCTTTGTTTAGCTGGTATGTTTTACAACTTTGAGTCATCTGAAATCTCGTTTTCAGGGGTTTTAAACTAAATCCTTGCAGGTGACGCTTCCTGATGATGGTCCACTTAAAAAATCACTATACTACTTTAGAAGTTATCTTGTTTTTACATGGACAAACAAAATATTCTATAAATAAATATATTTTCTAAAACCAAAACAAATATAAGTAATTGTGGCAAATGTCAGATTCTCAAAATTCGAAATATAATTAAGTAAATAGGTAGTTATAATAAAATATTTAGACGTTAGACGATGCACTGCTTTCAACGCCGCACCGCTGTGCCGGTCGGAGTGGGGGGTGTTAGGTTTTTTTCGTTACGGTCGTTACGGAATTTCTTGATTCGATCGCCGCACTCAAAGCCTGCGTTAAAAGCTATGCAATAGCTTAAAAAAACTTCAATTCAGTAAGGAATCGCCTATTTTTTTAAAAATAACAATTTTTTAATTTTATAATATGTCAAGAACCTAAAAATAGCCTAAAATGTGACATAGTTATTTTCAGAAGAAGAAAAATACCTTTAAAAATAAGGTGCTTTGGGGTCTATTCTGTAACAATTCCTTTATATTTAACGGCCTTTAAAAATATTGGCGACCTTTACAAATATGTTTGTATTCGTTAATTTACTTCTGTCATTATTTAAACAGATTTCTTTAAGATAGTTCTTTAATGTATTTTAAAGATCCGTTTAAATAATGACAGAAGTAAAGAAGAAAATATTTTTAAAGGCCGTTAAATATAAAGGAATTGTTACAGAATAGACCCCTTTGTTGGCATCATTTGAAGCTAGCAAACCACCCTGTATTTTTTAAAAAACATCAACTTTGTTTTGACGTCACCATATCACGATCTATGTCTACATAATAAAACGTTAAAATGTAGACTGAGGACCATAAACATTTGCTTTTTTTCTAATTAATTAAGAAACAAAAAATAAACATCGCAGTTTTTAATTTTAATTTAATTGTTCAACAACAACAAAAAAGTAGAAACATCAAACAAGCCGATCGTTGGTCCCTTTTCATTTTTAGACAATTAAAATGCTACAAATTTTACCTGTTTCTTAATAAAACTTTTCGAGGATTTTACAAGGGTTCCAGGTAGAGACAAGCTACACAAAGAATAAACTTTTATATATACTTATTTCGGATTTTCTAGGTAGTAAACGGTAAATGTGGATTTTTAGAACTCTATGATCCTTGCTAAGGACCATATCGGGCTAATGGTTTTTCGATTAGGGAAACGCTGGAACAGATTTAGATACTGTGATTGGTTTTTAATATCGCAAATGAATGTTCAAATATATTTTGATGTTTGTCTTGCAGAAAAATCGAATTTAAATTTAGTTTAAAGTTATTAGATTGGGGATTAAATTTATAATCTTAATAATTAGGATTTATTCAATACCTACTTTAATCCAAGTTGGTGAAAATAATCCTTAAAATTTTATGCACGGAAATACATCGAAAAGCATATTGATATAAGTAGTCCACTCTATTTTCATTTAAGTAATGTATATTTGATATTCATTTTATTTCTAATTACATTTTGTTACTTTCTTGATTTGTATTCTATCAAATTCATAGCTCGTTTAAACTTTTTGAATTATATTATATGTGTTAAACAATTCTATAAAATTGGTTTGGATCCCTTTATAAATATTTGGTTTTGCTTCATCAACAATTTTTATTGAGTTTTTGAACTAATCAAATTCAGAATTCAGTTCTCTAGGCATTTCTTTTAAATTATTTCAAATCTGTAAAAAAAACAAAAAAAAAAATGTGAAAATCTAATTAAAAATCTGATGTGCCCAACACATGACTTTCCTATCTAGTTATTATAGGCTTTTTCCGGTTATTTTGTACAACCTATTGCAGCATCTCTATAAATGTTAGGATAAACTAAATATATATATTGTCCACATACATCTACCTCGAAACATTTTTCTATAGATATTCATTGGAAACGAAAATACTGAAAAATTTAAATTTCCTACAATTTTTTCATTACGGTCCATTTTAGAAAAATCATGTATAAACAAACATTATAGAGATCGATATCGCAAACAACTTTTCGATCAACAATTTTCATAAAAATCAGAATTTTGCACATTTTGTCAAATTTCTCGAATACGGACCATTTCAAGAAATTTTGACATATAGCAGAAATTACAGTTCATCAAATTTCTAGAGGTGTTCGACGCCCAGACAGAGAACGCGCTACGTGTGACTAAGATAGCTATTGTACAGTCTGCTAAACAAGTTATTTTAAATAGTTTTTAATATTTTTAGGTAATTAAATTTTAAAAGTGTGGAATAGTTTTGGGATTAAATTGGTCTGATTGGACTTTCTTAGAACGTTTTTAAAAGCAGCTAAAGTAGTATGTAGAATTGAAAATAATTATTATGCCATAAAAGGCGTTTTGGAATTCCTTCAACCTTTTGAAATTGAGTCAGAAAATATAAATTTTATAGGATAGCGGAAAATACCTATAATTTTTTTGTAGGCCTTTGTAAATCGTGGAAATAGTTTATATTTTATTACTACCTTATTAAGGAAAATGGTACCTATTATTAATAACGGTTGTTTCTGAAACATTACTAAAATTTTCGAAATTTTGTTCTTCTACAAAATAATAAACTATACTATTTAGAAAAAAAATTATTTCTCTTATAATTTTATAAAAAATAACAGGGGAATATTTACATTTCTTGATCTATTAAACAAAACGATAAATTATCTCGACGAATGACACCATGTTCTAGTACGGAAGCTAGCTTTACATTTTTGTTGGTGGTTTCATGGGTTTCATATCAATTTTTTGTAATTGTAGTTTACACGTACATAT